TTTTAAAATACTGATTGATCTACTTACGGGGGTGATGTTTAGGCTAAATTTAGTAAGGTGTTTAAAGTGAGATTTCCAAAAAGTATAGTATGCATACCAAACGGACCCTACCTCCGATATGATTTTACCTAGTTATCCCTTACTTTATAGATCTTGATGTGGACATTATGATTGTTGAGGAATCTACACTATCATTAGTTATAAGGAATATTAGACTAAGACTTAGTGATAATTATACCCAAGTTAAATCAAAGGAAAAGCTAAGTGCTAAAGCGAAGTGCTGCCTAAATTTTAGGTAATCCACTTCTAACAAGTGAGTGCATAGTTACTTTCATCTTACACATAGATATAAGTATCTAGATGATTAAATGTTATATGTGCTTATTATCTATATTTGTTGATATCAGTGTTAGATGAAATAATATGATTTTTACTCTATTTAATCGCATATGAATTTTCATATATAAAATATATTGCATAGTGATGGGTGATGAAAGATGAATTGATAATGAAAGGACATGACTATTGTAGTACTAGTGTATTGACGAACCATGGTAGAGTATAGATGACGACCACAGACTATTCTAGACAGTCTAGTAGAACGCTGACAAGCTCATAACTTGTAGGTGTTAATGAACTACATGTTCATTCAACGTACTTTATCCCTCCATGGTTGCCTTATTAACATGTATTGTTATAGAATCCCTAAAGTAGTATTGCCTACTTTTTGCTTACAATGATGCTTAGGATATGTCCCTTGAGATCAGTATTTTAGGATCAGAAAGTGAGAATAACAAGAACATGGTAATCGGGTGAAATTATTTGATGTGAAATATATACTTAAAAAACTTAATTATTGTGGGTTGAAAACCATATGTGCTTACCTGGCTCCCAAGCCTGGTCCACTCAGTTTCTTTGTTTCACAGGTAGCAGTACAAAAGGACATGAATGATGTTTTGAGGAGTCTATAGGTCATTAGTATGGATAAGTGTTATAAGGTCTGTAATGAATAGTTTATGCTTATGTTGTCTGTATCGATGACGACATCCCAATATTTTATATATTAATAAAAAATGTTTCTTCGGAAATATTTTATTTAAATGTTTTGGGAACAAATTCCGCAATAGAAAATATACTCTAAATTAAATAAGCATAAAGACAAAGTTTTAAATTGGCTGTGAAAATGAGGATGACACAATTTCCCTTAATACACAGTTCACTGTTCTAACTTAGTTCTCATAAATTATTAACGAGAGCACCCGATAATACTCGTGACCCTCTTTGTCCTTCCATCTTAGGTTCTTTGATAACACTAAGCAATATACGCCAAGAGCAAGCCATGTGAAGATTACCATATCAACCGATAATGTACATCGACAACTCGTTTATGTATTATAGGGTAACAAATCGCCCGATAGAAAAATAGAAACCGAATAGTATGTGTAAGCTAACATAATATGCAGGGCCGGTCCTGAGGAATTATATATCCTCAAAGGCCCATTACAAGCCAGAAAAAAGACATTTATTGTTATTATAAGTTTTTATTTTTAAATAAATATACTCCTTTGTCCCAAAATTATTGTCCAACAGACCAAAAAAACAAAAAAACATACAGATTAATGAAGCATTAATTATCACTAACTTTATACAATGAAATGACAATTATATCATTACTTTGCATTTAATATTCCATTAAATGCTTAGTTGGTTAAGTAATAATAAGGAGTATTTTGGTTAAAATGTTATTTGTTTTTAGAATTAGACTATTATTTTGGGACAAACCAAAAAGGAAAGATTAACTATAATTTTAAGACGAAGGGAGTATATAATAAAAAAATTAGACCCTGTACAACTGTAAACTTTTGTCCTCTCACCGCCCCTATGATAATATGCATCACCTAGTATATACTATATCCTTTGATTGAGCATGGAATGTTGTTTTTCAAGGCAATGAGAACAATCAAAAACGTTCTACATGAAAGAGGATCCAAATTTCTGTACAACTGGGTTATATGTCGGGTCTTACTACCTATTTTACCGTAGTTAATGAGAATCTTATTTTATAATATATGAACTCTTTCCATTATATGAAAAACTATATTTTGAAATGCTTTAGAATTACGAAAGTTATCCAAATAGATTCCCATTACGAATAAGAAACTTTCACTATATTTAGCTTTTATTACTCGAGTGATCACTAGTCATCCAACGACCATATTGCCAAATTCCAACTAACGAACGACTTTACTAAAATTTAACTGCTCTGGTAGTATATTACAGTATATTATCTTTGCTTTATAGATCTAAAAATATAATAATTGGTGGATGAATAGCAAAACCTAAGCGGCAAATTTAATGCCTTGTGTGTTTTCTAACATATATATTGTGATAAAATCATATAAAATTTGTTACGTTTTGTTTTGTGCATTTAATTATTATTACTTAAATAGTTTAAGACATGTCATAGTTTTATGGAACTTAAATCTATTGTTATATTCATTTTGGAGACAACTAAAATGATAATAGTTTTTTTTTATTTTTTTTTTATTTTTATTTTTGAACTGATAAATAAAATTTATTTCTAAACTAACTTTTAGTTACATATGTATTTCAGACTTGAACACTTGACAGAGATGAAAATATACCAGTGACCTAGAGGTCTTTTGTTAAATTATTAATAGTTATTACAAAAGTTTGTTAGGAGTTTTTGGTTTTATTGATTTGTTAGGTCTAATATATAAGAAAGCAGAAAAAGTTTGTAAAACTTTCTAAATTAGCCACTCAATTAAAACGAAGCATTAAAGGTTGTTCATTAACTTTCAAAATTGGTGTCACTTACAGCTAAACTACCAAAGATGAAGATATTTAACTACTAATTAAATGCCTAGCCGTTTTAGTGAAAAACAAATAACCAACTTGTTAAGTATAATCAAAATTAATATAATAAAATGCAAAATATATCTTATAAGCTTAAAAAAATACAACAGTTGATTTATTTTTTTTTTTACTTTTTAAAAAGATAAAGAGATAAATATTGATATGATTAATCAATAATAATATAAATCATGTATTTTGGAAGTAGAAGAGAGAGTTGTTACATAAGTGGTGAGAGATAGCAAGAGCAGCTGTCATCGCTACCGCCCACCTTATCATGTGGACTATCTCCCTTTTGTTTAATATAATCAACCTAATTAACTCTTTAATTTTGATTATTACATATTTATTAGGTGTACACCTATCTATAAACAACCTTCCTTAATCTTTTTTTCACTACTCTTTATATAATTACTTTCTTTATTTCTTTTTTTAATCCCCAAAAAAGTTTCATTTTATATTATTTTTAGAATACCAAGAAAATCAAATATAAATTTAAACCCAGCTTATAATAATAAAAACAAACATATATATTTGAAAATAATATATTTTAATACATGGATGGAGTTGGATGGAAATGGGAAAGGTATGCGGTTAGCCAACTCATCTTTGTTTTCCAACCATTTATTGATACAAACAGCCTTACCACTCACTCACTCATACACACTCCATGTGTGTGTCTATGTGACACAAACCATGTGTTTCTTTCTTTTTAGTTATTCTTACATTCATTTACATGTATACTTGCATAAACAATCAAATATTCAAGTTTTAACAATATTAGAGTTTTCATTCCACTATATATTAGGTTGTTTGTGAGCATAGGTAGGTTCTTGTTTTTCTCATATACATCTCATGTGAACCAACTGATGCAGGACAATGTGAGTCAGCTTAATTATGTGTTAGTTCATTGGTTGCTTAAAGAAGAATATTTTTTATTAGAAGACAGTGTTATGTCAGCTCATGGGTTGTTGAAAGAAGACCATTTTGCACAAAGCCACTTTTAGTGGGGTGTCTTGCCCCCACTTAAAAGGGTGTACCACCATATACCATATGCAAAAAATAGTTTTTTTTTAGAAAAATTTACATATATGGTCCCCACTTTAACACCCAATTTGCCTAAAAATCAAAAAAAAAAACGTTGAAAGTTAACCATATAATTACTATTATTAATTTTTATACAAAATGGTCCCCACTGCACCGAAATTCTAGATCCGCCACTGCTTTTGCATAAACTTTCGGTTGTGCTAATGGTAGTGCCGAACCGTTAGGCATTCTGTTATCATGTCCTGCCGTCTCTCTTTTCTCATATACTGTCACACATTCGTTTTAAGTGTATGTTATACGTTACGTGTGTTTTCTTTCATACTCTACTTGACAAAAAAACAAAATAAAGGCACGAAAATGATGACCGAAAGGAAGAAATGTCTTTTTTCGGTTTTTTATACATGTTTTATGTAAATCATGTTTTCTTTTTCAAATATGTACCAAAGGGTAATAATGTAATTCACCTTATATTTGTTTAGACAGAAAATGGAAAATGAAAGAAAAGGGAGATGCCCATGTATTACTCACACTATCACTCACTTTTCGTGAATGAAAGGCAACCCATGATATGCATCATATCACCTGTTCAACACTAACCACTTACTCAAAGTATTCCACACTCACTACACTTCACACTACTTCAATCTAACTCAAATTAAAGTAAAAAACTTGTGATTGATTATGTTTATAAGAAAATTAAGAACTCATCTCCTTTCAATTTTCAATATTTTGAATTTAAATCAAGAAACAATCACATAAGTAACTAAACAATAAATCGTATTGAAGATTGTACGCATAAAATCAATGAAAATGATAAAATTTGAATGATGATCAAATAGTGTTACAATGGCATGAATTCATGTTATCATGTACCTCAAATCATATATAATTTGGAAATTTGAGACGAATTTGAAATTAAATTCGTGAATTATGACATGGTAAATGAGAAGAATCAGTTTGGATTAATTAATTGTCAATGAATAGTAATAACAATTGAAAATGTAATATTTCACATTGATCTTGATGTAAGTAGCGTTTTTGAATTGTGATGTTGACCTTTTCTTTCTTCTTTCTTGCTTTCAGTAATGGCAATCTACTAAAGCTGGAGCAGAGAAAACTAGATGTTGTTGTGAAGAACTCGCAGTAAACTGAAATTGTGATTGAACGTCGTCAGCCACCTCCGGTGGCGGAAGGTTAAGATCCAACGATAACATACTACTGTTACCCACCGGAGAATTTTCAATGATATGATTATCAGTACTGCTGTCGTCGGTGTTTGTTGAGATTCCAGTACTTCTGTTGATCGCCGGTGGAGTTGGCCGGTGTTTTCTCATGTGACCGCCGAGAGCTTGGCCGGATAAGAACTCCGATCCACATATTGAACATTCATGAACTTTTCCTCTGGTGTTGTTATTAATAATTCCTGTTTGAATCAAACCCGGTGAAGATGAAGGAGATTTCTGGACGTTATTACTGATGATCAAGCTGTTCTTGTTTTCTTCGTCTTCTACCACGACTTTGTGTTGATCTTCATCAGAATATTCCATCAATGGCGGTTGAATATTAACCAAACCAGATTTCTTCTCTTCTACGTTAACCTTCGGCTTCTTATGACTTGCTCTGTGTCCACCTAAAGCTTGAAACGACGGAAACGTACGATTACACGTTTTGCACTCATAGACATAGAAACCAGCTTTTCCACCGGCGGAAGAAACCGCCATCTCTGTAAATCTCCGACTACTTAACTTCTCAGTTTTCTGACGAATCTGATCGGATTTTTCCTCCTTGACCGGAGATACACTTTGAGCCAACATAATCAAACAATTCGCCATGTCTTCGTCTTCCTCCGTTGACATCTCAGATGACATCACCGGCGAGTGATCAGGTGTAAAGTTATTAATCAAACAGTCACTGTTGCCGGAGGTGGTGGAAATCCCAAAAGGCGAACAAGGCCGATTACGTTTTGTTCGTTTACCTCTAATGATTTGGCGGGCTCGATCACGACTCATACCCTCCGTGAATTCAGCCATGAACTCCATTTCCATGGCGAAATTGTGTGAATCTGTGTGAAGTGTGAGAGAGGGGGAGAGAGAGAGAGAGAGAGAAAGAAAGAGGAGTGGAGGGTTACTGGTAATGGAGAAAAGAGTGAGGGTTGTAGGCTCAATATATATACATAGTGAAAGGGTTAAAAATGTGAACAGTGAAAAGTTAGTGGATAGGAAGAGAAGGGTAGTAAAGTGTAAATTATGCTTCAAGTAGTTTGTTGCCAACAATCTTTCTTGCGTTTCCCTTCTTAAATATGTGCTTTTTAACAATTTCAGAACGCGTGATACTCACTCGCTTTAAATGTTCCTCGCGTGCTCTTCCTCCAATCTCCCACCTCTTTTTATTTTTCTCTTTTTTCTTATTTTGTATTTTTCTTTATGAACATGAAAATTACACTACTGTCCTCCTAAGAATATAAATTGATAAAAAAAAAAAAAAAAATCTTTGAACACCATAGACATCCTATGCAAGTATTCTACAATATACTGGGATATTGGTAGAAAAACAGGGTTGGTGAAAATTGATTTCGAGAATCTATTGACTAAATTCGTGTTATATTTGTAATCTTGTGCTTATTGATATATCTTGTAATCAAAATTGATAGATATTAGGAATGACATTTTGAATGTGTTTGATGGTAGTTGTAGAGAAGTGAACCTTCAAAACAAATATTATGTACCAATGTTGGTTATCAAATTTTCAATAAAACTTCTACACTACATTTCATTAGCAAGTTTCAATACTAAGCTTTAGTACCATGTGGAAGTATCACTTGAGTACATACTTTCATTCAATGCACCGAAATTTTTTCTTTCAAATCTACATTGCCCCTAGACCCCGCATGATCACGACCCAGTTGGCCTCAGGCATTCGTCATTGCCAAGATAAATATAGTTAATATGAACGTGTACTCCACACCTCCTTAATCAGAACGAAGTTTTACTACGATGTTTTAGTACCAATCTTGAGTACATACTTTCGATACATGTACTTACATTCCTCTTTCTTGACGTGTATTACCCTTAGCCCCTCATCATTGCCGTTAGCTGACTCAGAAGCAAGCTTTAGTACCATGTTTCTTTATCAATATCTAGTACATACTTTTAATACATACACTTACATTCATTCTTTAAAAATGTGCACTAGACTTAAAACCCCGCAAGGGGGTATGACCACCTTAGACTTTACAAGTGACCCCTGTGTCCCCACCTTTGCCATTTTCTAGATCAAAGTAGCTAGAAGTGTGCACTTCGTACCTCCGGACTCAAAACCAGGTTTTAGTACCATGTTTCTTTATCAATTTCGAATAGACTTTTGGTATATGTGCTTGTTGTTCTCCTTTGAGCCTTGCACACCCAGACCCCCGCAAAGGGGATGCAATTACTTTAGCCCCATCATTCTCCATTTTGAGGTTGAAGTAACTAATATGAGTGTTCACTTCATACCTCCTAACTCATAACCGAACTTTAGTAACATGTTTAATACCAATCTTGATTACATAGTTTTCATGTCTACACTTACTGTCCTCCATTTGGATACATACCCCTTGAATGGGGATACGACCCCCCTTCCCCCACACCCACACAATCATTTGTTATTGCTAAGATCAAATATCTAATACGATTGTGTATTTCATACCTTGTAGCTCAAAGTTAGACATAACTTAACATTTAAGTACTTGTATAAATATGACTTGTTTAACATGCCAATAAAATCATGAACTTAATATGAGATAATCATAAATCCTTTTTTTTCGGCTTGTCTCTTTTTGTTATTTTTGTTATGTTCAATTATCTCATTACAATATCATCTTTACGAGACATCTAATGTTGTGTTTTGAAGGTCAATATATGGCTATCTTTTATTAATCACAAAACAAAATAATTTTAAAGACTAAATCTATAGCACATACGATGATAGTGTTTTGCAAAAGAATTTTTCGATGAGTTGAACTGAGTCGTTCAGATTGTACAAATACAATTTTTTTAATAGAGTAAATCAATATTACTTGTATTTTAAATTATTACATATTAAAACATCTCTATTCTAATAAATGAAGGTTTTTTGTCACATGTAACACTCTCATTCAATTTGCCAAATGACATTTTGTGGTTATTTTGAATTAATTTCTTTTCCATATGTCATTTTATGAGTTTTTTATTTTAATAAATTCAACATAACACTTTAATGTAATAATTTCAATAAATGTAGTAATAAATGAATATCAATTTTATTAATGGACTTATCTTCTTATTTCAAAATACTCAAATTAAAGCTTATTAGTTTATTTTGTTTATTTATTTAAATTTAAAAGATAAAACAAATCAATTTTAATAATTCTTTATTTTTCTTATTTTCTTATAAATCTAGATTTTTTAAATATTTAGACTTTTATATTTAATTTTTTTTAATTAACTTATATAATACATGAGTTTTACACCTAGTATGTAAAATATAAAATAGAATTCTAGCGTTGCATTAACTTATAATTAACTTATACTTATGGCAATCAAAAAAAATATTCTTATTTTAATTTTTTGATTACAAAGTACATGTTTCAATGCACATGATACTGATTGCTACACTATTATTTTGCATTTATGAGTTATTACTATTAACATATAATGAGATTTAAATTAATAAATAAGATATAAAGTTAATTAAACGATTAAGAGAATGCACGTTAAAGGTATGCTACCCCTCATTCACTCCATGTCGTCTTCATCTTAAAGGAAAATACTTCTCCCTCCATCTATTCTTCTCATTTGCTTTTATATAAATTCACCCCTTACAAATAACATTTAATATAATTTATAAGTTTAAATGAATAAAGTTTACTATAAATTATAAAACATAAAATATGATATTCACAACGCCTTTGATTGGCTCGGTGCATATGTTATACAAGCTTTATTGGATATAAATTTTAGATATAGATGCAAATAGAACAACATCAAATGGTGGCTAAGAAAGATTTAAACCTAATAATTACTGGTTAAAACCTCGCTGCTAAGTGCTAACAATGTATATGAATATGTTCCAAAGGAATCACATTGTAATATATATAAATTTCTAATGTCGGTTATAATTTGCTTTGTTATTTCCAATTCTCAAGTTTTTATTATTATTATTTTTTACTTTGGTATTTTTCTTTGCTATTTGCTGCCCCTCGATCTTTTTTTTATCCTAAAATTAAAAACTACTCCTTTTTCTTTGCTATTCTCAACCCTCTAGCTTTTTATTTTTTATTTATTACCTTTGTATTTTTCTCTGATATTTCTAACCCTCCATTTTTTTTTTTACGATTTTTCCTAAAAAAAACTATATCTTTGTATGTGTAGAATGAACAACTCGCAAATTGCACTATCTTTTATGAATATAATCATCAAAATTCAATTTATAAAATGGATTATTATCACTACAAGGTGCAGCAAATAGTTGTAACAATTTACTTTTTCAACTAAGTTACCAATTGGGTCCCACTGGTTTGTATTTTTTGGGTTAGATCCACAAATAGTTTTCATCTTGTAATTTTGGTTTTTAGTTAAGGGATTCGTATCATATTTGATTCCTTCAAGTGAACGTTTGTTGAAACCAATTAAATCATTCAAATAATTCCCTTTATATATATATATATATATATATATATATATATATATATATATATATATATATATATATATATATATATATATATATATATATATATATATATTTTACCTAGATTAAAATATTATTGTTAAAGGAGCATTTTCGATTTTTAAATGCGATGTACAGGTTTTAGTGATTTTCAAATTGAAAATTAGGTCCTATTTTATACTTGTATTAATTATGGGATAGGCATGTGTGAATAATACGAACATCAAAATATTGAGCTTAAAAATAGCAAACACAAATATTTGTATAAAGTATTTCCTTGACATAAAGTGACCTATTTAATTTATTTAAATTTAAAAAAAAAAAGTTAAACACATTATAAATTATTGAGCATTGTTAATAGAATTTTGTTTAGAATATTAGGTGTTGTCAATCTCATAACCTCATAAGTTGTTTTAGACTCCATTGCATCAAGTTCTTTCGGTTTTCTCTGTTAGTTGGATTGGCGTAAAGATCTACTATACACCATCAACCTGGTGGGATGCATCAGTTTCTCGTTACAAGATTCCAAAAACAAAGTCACATTGTGTTTGTAATCTTTCTCGGGAATTGTGTTAATTGACATAGTGAAAGAGGGACGAAACGATAGAGGGAGAGAACGATAGGGATGTAAAGCAAAAGATGAAGATGATATAGAAACGAGTAGAATGAATGGATTTAAAGGGATAAGCAAAATCAATTTAAACATAATATGGTCCTTAGAGACCCCAAAGGTCACGTATTAAGTAAATGGTTCACGTAAATAGTAGTTAATGTTCCTAATAGTTACATTTAATCAACGTGTTTACACTCTTGAAGCGTATATGCACCAAAACGTCTCATCCAAACTAAAATTTGTGGACCCTGATATCTGTATCCTTTCTTATATAAAGTTACGATGATTGTACACTATCACTTTCCCTAAAATTATATTGCCAACAAATTTAGATAACAATAGCATATCCATCAATGTCAACTTCAATCGTTTTTAAGATAATTGAACTTGACAAAAAGACTCAACATGCTTTGGAGATGGATTGTGAAAGTATGAAAGATATAGAAGATACCTTGGGACGTCATAGATAGAGTTCAACAACAAAAATAGTAATACTCTTAGTTGTTGCTGTGAAAGTATGAAAGATATAGAAGATACATTGGGACGTCATAGATGGAGTTCAACAACAAAAATAGTAATACTCTTAGTTGTTGCTATTTCCCTTACTCCTGTAAGCAAGGAAATCACACGACTATATATTATTGAAATAATAAAGAGGGCCATGTAACATCAAATAGCTTTGGAGAATGTATTGATGATTCTTCAGCATAGAGTTACTTTTAATGTATGACTACTTGAGAAGCTCAT